TCACCGAGCTAAGATTCTACATTAATTTGATGTCGAACGTATATCTGTCCATCCGTGCTAAAGACCACTAAATATTGCGATATTTGAGATAAAAAAAAGTGTAATCTACCCGAAGAAGTCCCATTTTAGGTTACGGTTGCAGATGGGGAGTGTGCGAAATGGGCTGAACTTAAGAATGGCCACAATAACAAAATAACTGAGAGAGTCTTAAAATATGCAATCTTTTCGCGCAGATGAAAGGCCCGTCCTGCGATCCCCTATTAAGTATATCATCGACGTGAAAGTTGACAGGAATATATATTAAACTAAAAAACACATTCCAAAATTGGGAAAAGTATCGTAAAAGTCAGCTTAAAGGCATATCTTTTGCTTTTTTTTGCTTGTTATAGTTAAAGCCAAGCGGTTCACGTTCACATGTGTACCTAGACAAATATGCAAATATAGGTGCAAATGCTTTTTGTTGTTTATGTGGATTCTTAAAAAAAAAAAAAAAACGAAAAAAGGAAAAAAAATTGGATAAAACCCTAAAAGACAAAAAACCGACAATTTGTAATCCAACAGAATGCATGTTCAAACCATTTAAAACCTTTCGTTAAGAGGAAAAAACATTCAGTTGATATATAGTGTTGAATATGCTAAAAGATAGGCAAACAGACAGACAATAACATATGCATGTATGTATTCATTCATATATAAGCAGCAAACATACATATACACATTTATATCCATTTACATTCAAGAAAAGGTGCCATCATTTATTCAACGATATACTTTAGATCTTATACATATCCAGATGAAAATAATTTTAATAGCTTATAGTGCTTATGCACAGACTCTCTATCTACTACCACTACCACTGCTATAGATGAAAGAGGAGCTTTTAAACAAATTAAACCAACAATTTGTTGCTGAATAAATATTTAAGGACTTGCAATAAATAGAATATGATTTCATCTATTAAATTACTTTGAAAGAAAGCATTCTATTTAATTGGTTGTTATCCGCTTTAAGGATAAAAGGAAGACCGAATAAATAGTAGCTTTAATAAAAACAAAAAAACAATCGAATTTGCATTGCTGTTTTGCATTTTGTCCGAATAATCAAATAAATAAATATTCTCGAAAGTTTTCGCTTCAAAAAATTTAAAATATTTTCATAAGCATTTTATAAAAGGCTCTAAGCCTGATTTCTGGCTTACATCCCTACACGGTTGGCGACATGCCCACCTTTTAATATGCCAATGAATTTGATAACATTTTCTGAGTCGGTTCGAAGCATGTTTCCCTATCCCTCTGTCCTGTCTGCAATGGCTGAAGAAAAACCAATGAAAAGACATATTTGGGCTTTGAAAATATGATTCAGTGAGATATGATCATTCTTTTAAACCTTATATAGAAAATTTTTTGCCAATGAAAAGCTTTGCATGGCAGCGAAAGTCTCTTTTTTTATTGTTTTAAATGAAAAGTAATTTAATACGACAAGAGCTACTTACTACTTACTACTCCACATCCAAATGTCCTCACTTTTTAAACGGTTTCTAATCCTTTACAAGGAAAAAGGATGCTTTACAGCAAAGATAGGTGAAGAAGTGAATTAAGTGACATGCGATAGGGTATTTAAAAAATGTTCTTGATCAACTGTAACCATATTTTAGGTTCTTGTTAACTAAAAGGTGAAATTACTTTTCGGATCATGTTAAGCCTTTGCAGCCCATTGCATTGCATTTACCAAAAATATTTATTTATTTCGCTTCAACTTAACATTTAGTCTAAGTAAGAGTTCTCCTCTCTGACTGTGAACCTTTGAGATTCATTATAGTAGGATTAGTTACAATAGCTCATGGGCGTACTAGTTGTCTAACATAGTTTCACCGTCCCTGTTTAAATTTGCCGAATTTGCCAGATTCATTTATTCATTCACTTATAAAACCAAAAGAAGAGCGAAAAACCAAAGATTCTTAACCATAAAGTTCCATATATTTTCTATCCTTCTCTATCTATAATCCTTCTAGAGGATATCTCCTGGGTGAACGGTCATGTTAAAAGAAAAAATAATTGTGAGCCAATGTACAGAGACTTGAAAGTATATGCCATCAAATCGGCCCAAATATTTGGGCATCAAATTTTTGTAGCATCATTTAGCCCATTGCCGAGTCGCAGTGCGGCGTGAAAAAATTACGACTTTTCTTTTGAATACGACATTCATGCAATGCGCGATTACTGCAAAGTAGTAAATCTAAGGAATCCGATAAAGAAATTAGGTTATTAACATGTGTCAGATTTTTACAAAGGACGCAAAGTGTGTTTAATGCTTGATAATTGAATTTATATCGGCTGAGTTTTATTAAAAGCATTCTCCTAGACGAATGGATAGGAAGGTTGAAGTTTCGTATCATCGTCTCAGTGAAGGTGTACGGATGTAAGTGACCCCCTACTTCAGTAGGATGGTGGTGACACAAAAAAATTGCATAAGATTTCTAGGAATAATTGAACAGTTCATGTTCTTAGTTCATCATTTTCTTTCTTCTTCCAACATATTGTTTCTTGGCACAACAAGTCTAAGATAAAAGGTAAGGTAAACCGACTTTTGGAAACTTTAGATTTCATATTCAAGTTTCTTTGCTATTAAATTCGTGCCGTTGAATTGTGATTTTTATGACAGCATAATTTTTATTCTTGAATTCTTAGGACATCTATTTACAAATTATTTACAGGAACTTACATTTTGGTCTTATCGGTTCGAATATTGCAATTCATTTCTCCTTGCTCGGATATCTCTAGTCACTTTCGACTGACTAATTTTGCCCTCCGCAAATATTCTGCATAGATATCCTTTTCGGAGCACGTTGCCACTACCTAAATTTATTGCAACATTTTTAATCCGTCAATCCGTCTTCCCGCTAAATTTTCGTCAGACGCCAATTGCTTGCCACAGGTAAGGCGCCGTGAATGTATACTTGGTTTTCTCTCAGTAAGCAAAATTTCTTCTGCTATCGAAAAGCACTTCTTTATTAAAGACATCTTAAATAGTTAGCCAAGACAATAATTTCCATCATTTTGCAACACTTTTAGCCAGCGTAACGGTAGTTGTTCGGTCCGGTCTTTAAAAACGTCCTTCGATTTTTCATTGAAAAATTTTTCCAAGTGCATTTTCACTCTATCGGCATTGTTAATGTATGCTCTAACGACCTGAAAAAGTGATAGTCCGACGACACGAGATTTGATGGTTAGATTGATTGAGGCAAAAGTTCCATTCCGAGCTCCCTCATATTTTTCTGTGTTATTTTTGCAACATGAGGCTTCGCGTTATCGTGTTGAACGATCCTTTTTTTTGTTATTGATAAAAAGACATCATTTTTTCAATACGCTATCGCTGTAACGGTCTGACTATGTTCAAGCAAATCATAGTGTATGAATCCAGAAAAATTCCACCGCACACAAACAAGAACCTCCTCTGTCGTTAGTGATGGTTGCGGCCATTGTCTTTTTCTTACGGGGCGGCCGTTGATCGAGCGCCATGTCCGTCAATTCATGAGGATTCACCCAAATTCCTTGTCGGTACGAAGAACGACAAAGACCAGGGATAGCCAATCTTCTTCTCCTCACTTAATTGACGAGGATCCAAGTCCACCATCGCCTTCAGGCTGCCATCATCTAATTTTGATTACTTTTCGCCATATGCATTTCTACTCATACGATAAAATAAGCTGCTTATAATTATCTTGCTTAGGCAACATTTGTCGAATGCGAATGAGCTGACATATGATGCGGAGCCGTCCTCGATACTCATATCATGTGCTACAAAGCGGGACGAATTGTAAAACTCTATTTTAATTTTTAAAATCTTTAATAATCCAATGCACATATTACGGATTATACGGACTGCAATTTATCTCATAAGGATCATTGAATTCCTTGTAATGCATTGAAAATATATTAAGTAGTTTATTATTATTGCTCTCATCTTTCATTGTTAAGTTACGACCAACTATTTTGGCAGCGGAGGCTCTACGGAACGGTTTTCTATTCGCGTAGTTAAATTACATATATATGCTTTAGATGTCGACCTCGCCAGAGTTCAGTCGAAAGCAAACTAGGTGTAACTAAGGGTACGCAATCCCTATTTGTTAAGCAAAAGCTCCAAATTAACTAAACAATATAAACAAAATAAATCTACGCGGAAAACCTATCTATTTCGACTAGCAACTCCACCCTATCAAAGCACATATGAGTTTCAAATGAGGTCCTTAAAGTATTAAAAGCGGAAAAAAAATGTTTTTCATTAATTTTGAAAAGCGAAAAAACTTCACTTTGGTATTTTCATTTTTTAGGGGTAGAAGTAAGAAAAAATTTATTTTTTTCCCAATTAATTTAAAAAAGAAGACAATACTTCACATTTGTATATATATATATATAAAATATGCATTAAATCTAGCAGCAACAATTGTTTGCTCCATCCTCTCTATTGTTGTTCAAAGAATTTCAATATAAATTAGCATAATGTTATTGAATTGAAAATGTGGTTCAATGACAACGTAAAACATGATGACAATAGTGCAAACTAACAACACACCCTCATACATTCAAGTAAAAGCAATTTTCATTTATTGTCCTCGAAAGTACATTTCAAGAACAATGAAAGGCAGACAACGTCACTGTTACATATAAATATATATGTATATATACATATATATATATACATATATAAATGCGATGAAGGCAAAACCGTGCCTGAGGGCTACTGTATTGTCAATACATTGCCAACGAAAATTATGCAATACACAAGTCAACACTCGCTGCTTTAACTCTCCACCATTTTTCAAAAACCACATGGCTTAACTAATGATGATCGTCCAGTATATGAGTGCAGTTAAGTAGAAATTTTTGAAAACAGAAACTACAGTAAGTGACAGTTCAGAAAATGGTTGGGCAATGTGGAGAAAAAAGGGGATAAAGTAGACCGTTTTTCCATTTTTCTTTTTGTGTACTTCTGTTACTTACCATCAATATCAGTAGCTTCGCAACGCCACACTTGCCCGAAGGCACCTTCCCCCAATTTATTAAAAACCTTCAAACGATGTCTTGGGAATTCCCAACGATCGTATTTGTTATCTTGTTGTTGAGTACAGTGGCCGCCAACAATATTGCCACTTATATTGCCGCCAACGGCAGCGGTGAGCGAGTTACTAGATATACCCAACGTACAGGATGTAACATCCGTTTGTATGACGGTCGTGTTGCCGCCATTTGCAGCACTTGTTGATAGTTGCGCAGTTGCCTGAAATGGCAAGAAAGAGAAAAAATAGAAAAAAACCAAAGTTGAGAAACAAGAATGTGAAAACGATTTACTAGTCAGTTTACTTTACTGGTTGCCGTTGTCGAGAGAAGTAAGGAACACAATATTGTGAATGCATGTATAAAAAAATCTTTGCACACACACACATGTGCCTGTCTCCTCTTTTTTTGAATTCGTTCAAGTTAAACTTGAAGATGTTGGGGCCAGACTACTGCTAATATTTTATTGCTATTGTGTTAGAAGCTATATTGTCGTTGCTATTGATGTTGTCGCTTCTGTTCATGATGCTATCATTGTTTGTGGCACATGCTTACGCAAACTAAAGCTTACTTGTACATACGGATTGTCTCTCCTTTCAAGAACAATTCAAATCGATTGCACAATATGTTGACAACAGTGGTAAAAAGCAAAGTGAAGTTATGTACATCCGCCGCTAAAGTCGCATAAGGAGAAGTTTTTTATTCCCCTTAAGTGGCTCAGAAAAAAGGATCTACATGGCAATGCTGGACGTTATTATAACAAGAAATTTTTGCTTTTTCCAACCGAAAGATTAAATTTTGTTGTTTTAGGTGAGAAACTATTTCAAGCCTCGGTACAGTCCGCCCAATATTAGAAAAATTCCAACAATATTTCCAAAGGAAGTAAAGTATTTTACAAACGAATTAATGTATAAATGCCCGCCAAATCCGTATATATATATTCATATATATATATATATATATATGTATATATATTTCTTCGTTCTATAAAGCCTTAGAAAATCTCGTTTACATTTACATTGGAAATGCTGTCAAAATATTTAGATTGCAGTCTTCAGCATTTGCATTGCAACAACGCTAGGAAAACAAAAAACGGTCAACAACCGTAGTTAAAATGTCAACTAAAATATAGCAACAAACAGCAAATGTTGTTTAAATAAAGTAACAATAATAACAATGCAAGTTATTTTTGTTGCTATGATCGTAGTAGAACAAAGACAGGCCCAATATTGAGAATGAAAAAAACATTTACGGCACGTAACGGCTCGAATGTCATTTAGTGCGACAGTTATACAATTATGTAAATCAGAAGTTGCATTAGCATCTGTATTTTAAACAGAGTGGAAGAGAAATGAAATGAAAAGCTAAAGTAAGCATTTGATTGTGAAAGTCGTCTAAGTCTACTAAATGCATAGTTGTTTCTGTTTTTTTTTATTATTTATCTTCTTTATTTGTACTCGTCTTCAGCTACTTGATATATAATATTTATATATTACTAAGACAAAAGTAACTGAACACATCATAGTTGGGCAGAGTCCATCATCAAACGCGTTCATTTAAGACGACTTAAAAAGAAAAAACTTTACGTATAGGAAGTGACCGAAAAAGTTGTCCGATCCGAGTCATTTTCAGTAGCATTCGTTTTCGGACCATAACATGTCGGTATATCAAATTTCAATAGAACATCCCAAAAATTTGCGACCACCAGGTCAAACAAAAAAATGCATGGACAAGATATCGGACGGACAGACAAAGTTGTATCGATTCTCGAAATGTGATTCTGAGTCGATCAGTATAGCAAAAGGTGGGCCTATCTCAAGTCCTTCTAGATTTTATATAGGTCCGCATTAACTTAACGTATTCTGTCCTAAAAGTGACGTTAAGTAGAATAAATATGACGTGTATGTAATATGTAGAATTTATACAGCAAGGGTAGTAGTCGAATATATCCAAAATAAATTTTCAAGCAACAGATATTTTGATTAACCATTAAGCTTTACGTGGTCACTTGTTAAACCCTTTGTTTTTGAATAATCGCAGATACGCTGGTTAGAACTGCTCTCTATAGAACCTTCGGGAAGATTGAAAGAAAAACCGCAACGTGCTATATGATCGGACATCCCCAAGACTATATCTCTTTTCCATGTAGAACATTTTGCCTATAATGTTAAGTGCGCTCCTTTACGTAACACTATTTTCCAGGAATCACTTATATCATATAAAACATTTGCTACATATTGCATATTGTATCAACCGATTTAAACCTAAAAATATCTCATGTCGACGCATGATTAGGTGAATTTAGGTAACCTTCAAAATAAACGGTTTCAATATATTTTTATATAATCAAGGGTAACATACATGTAAGAAATCTTACACTTAGGTAACCTAATTGGCTCCAAAAGAAAAGAGAAAAAAAAGAACTAAGAAAATGTTCAAACTTTTCTTTTGTTTGATTGTGACGAACATTTTTACAATGTATTTTTCGGTTACGTTACACACATATATAACATTGATATCAGCATTGCTGTCTGCATCATCGTTATTATTATCAGTCTTGAGTGATTATCAAAACTGTCAATACTTGTCTCTCGACATGAGTTGTGTTAGTCTAACAATCGTTCACAAAAGCAGCTATCCTTTAAAAAGCTATATAGGGGAATATTGCTTTAATGGCTGTTAAGATGGTGCGATGATATGTGTCTAAACCGCATTGGCATAGAAATATTGACACCATCTCTACTGAGATTTGGTAATATTTGAACTGAAGTGCTTACTGGCAAACTGTATTTCTACAATCGTATTTCTACATTATTCAACGAGTAGAAAACGGGTTTATTCATTTTGTGTTATTTCATTTGCAGCAACCAAAATTATTCATTGCAAAATTTTGACTATCTATCTAACTATGTGAAATGCTATGATTAATAAGTTATCGAAATTGATTTTGTACAAGTAGGGCGAAGAGAAGCACATTTGTATTGATAAATATGGAATATATTTTTAGGCTTACAATGTAATGTAATATAGGGTGACATAGGGTTTTGCTTGGAAGGACTAAAATATTAGGTTAAAGACAGAGAAATCCATTATTTTTTCGGTAGACGGCTATAGAGATCAATATCTCGTGGAGTATCGCTTAAACCATCCCAGATTTACGGTCGTTGGAAAGGTGACATTTTGACCTAAACTAATCTCTTTGTTGTTTTTTGTTTGGTCCATTCTTTCGTGAGCTACAGGCTGTTAAAAATGGAAGTCAACATCGGGAATATTCGGTAGAGTTTCCTTTGAAAGTGCAAGTCAGGCGGTTGAACTTGTGAATGGTGTTTATGGTCCCGCTACTGTAACAGCCAATTTTGGATTTGTCGATTGTGTTCAGGTATTTTTGGTGTTAAAGATGCACCTTGCGCAGGTAGGCCCGTCGCCGAAATTCACGGAAATGATTGAAATTGATCTGTATGTTAGCAGTCGCCCAGGAGCTAAAGATCAACCATAAAACAGTTTTAAACCATTTGCTTAAAGCTGGATTTAAAAAGAATCTTGGTGATTGGGTGCCACACCAAAGGAATAGAAAATCAGTAGAATTTCCATCTGCGAAGTCGTGGCCAAAGGGAATGAGATCAATCCATTTCTTAACCTTTGGTGACTAGGGATGAGAAATGGGACACATACGACAAGATTGTGCGAAAATTATCGTGGTCGAAGCGCGGTAAAGCAGCTCAAACGGTGGCCAAACCAAAACTAACGGCCAGGAAGGGTTGCTATTCATTTCGTGGGACTGGAAAGGAATCATTAATTATTATATGGCCAAACATTAAATTCGGATCATGACTGTCAACAACTGGACCGTCTGATGATGAAAAAAATCAGTATTAGCCGATAGGGGAGGTGTTGTTCTCCACCATGACTACCTCAAGCCATACACGTCTTTTTTCACTATCCAAAAACTCCGCGAGCTTGGTTGAGAATTTTCGGTGCACCCACCAAATAGCCCGGACCTGGCACCAAGCGATTGCCATGTTTTTCTTACATTACAAAGTTTTCCTGCCATATGTGAAATGCTCAATCATTTAGCCTAAAATGTTTTTATAATTCCTCCCAGATGACTTATTTCCACTTTATTTAGTGCACGCAATCCTTCAATTTTTCCAGTAGATTACGGGAAATACAGCATCTAACGACCTAAGCTATTCTTTAGCATGAACGACACTGCTAAAATACTTGAAGCACTCGACGCAGACGATTCTGAATAAATGTCTCACATACAATACGCTATAAAAATTCTCAATTCCTTAAGTATTATCTTTATAAACTTTTCGTCATTTGCTTATCTTGTATTTATATTATCGCAGAACGTGTGAAATAAATTTGGGTCAGGTGTTTTTGTCACTTAAATTAATTTTCTTGTTAAGGAACAGGATATTTCATATAACGTAAAGCAATATTAAAACAAAGCACTAATGCTTTAGTCATGAACATGTGCTTTATGATAAATACGCATGTAATTATGGACATTTTAACACATCCTTGAAATTCTATCAAGTTGTTTCGAGAGGTAGTTTCTTTAGTTTGACACATTTCTCTGATTATTTTCGTTACTGTCATTTGATATGCTTGTAACGTTTGAATTGACACTCAGTATTTCTTGAAGGGGTAGCAGTAAATGCAAGTAAGAGTTTGATTGCTTAAAAGTAAGCCGGATTGAAACGCTTGTGTTTGATAAAGTAAAGTAAGAGCAAAAAGAGAAACGGGTGTTTTTTGCAAATTCTAACGAGGTGACGGGTGTCTACATTGCAGGATTTTTTCTTGCATGGGAAGACAACTCGGCTTCCCATATAACGGCCCGCTAAATGGCTGAAAAGGCTGTAAGCTGTATTCTGCGAAACATTAAAAATGCGCTTATCCTGCATTCTACATCCACAATTCTATTATATATATATTGTTACTTACAACTGATTGATGCGGCAACTGAAATTGCTGCTGTTGTTGTGCTTGATCTCTCTCCCATGGTACATAGCGATTACCATAAGCCATGGGTCCGTGCCAATGCTGCATAACCATTGAGTTGCGACTATCATCGGTTAGATTACTGCTACTCAAATTGCTTTGATTCGACTTTTTGGCCATTTCTTCTTTAGATTTCTTCTTGAATGTTTTGCCAAAAGCACACAAACGCTTACGATATAAAACACCAACGATAAGAGCAGCTGCCACGAACACAATGCTAACTACCAAAATGACGGGAATCATTTGTGATTTAAAGCCATACAAAACGGTCGGCATTCTCTCAGCTAAATCATCCAACTCAACCGCTCCATTGGAAAAGTTTTTAACGATGCTGCTGCTGCTGTTGCCGTCATCGATTAGGGTGGAATTTTTGTTATTTTCATTTATAATTGTTGAAGTTGACGATGTAGAAGCATTCTGCTTAATAGGCGTTAGCCTAGTGCGACTTGTGGTTAATGTTGTTGATGTTTTTAATGTTGTGCTTGTCACAGGCGCGGTTGTCAATTCGACATTTTCATCTACATTATCAACAACATTATTTGTCGGCCACACTGGCAACTGTTGACTGGGATTGTAGTTAAGCACGGGAGGTGAATAAATCCCATTGACATTAAAACCAGGCGGTAATATATTAGAAGGTCGACGATTTGGAAACTGATTGCGTACTGACTGGACGCCGGGCAATCGACCAAAAGCCGGCAGAAAATGTGATATATTATGAACCACATTCGATATGGAAGGTGGTGTTGCTCGAGGTTTCTGATTTTTATTATTGCTTGAAGATAAAATATTAACATAAACCTCATTTTTGGCCGTCAGTTGTCCATCGGTTACTGTAATGTAAAGGAAAAAATTTTCGCCGCTCTGTAAGGAAAATGAAAACAATTAAATTATCGTTGTGGAAAAATGTCTATTCATTACAACTTACTCGGCCAGCGAGACTTTCATTTAGATAAACGACACCACCGATGGGATCTATGCGAAATGGTAATTGGTTGTCTTTAAACTGAGATTCCAAGCCAAATATCAACTCATCACTTTCCGAGTCGTCGGCTCGTACGCGAGCAATTATCTGACCAACCGGTTCGTTTTCTGCGATGCGCCAATTTCGATCAGGTATAATCAGAATAGGAGGCGTATTCAAGTGCGTGTGCTCCTGACATGATGCTGAAAGAGCACAAAAATATACACTGGAATTATTTCAGGAATTGGATATAAAATATACGCAGCTAATTGCCCTCTTTTCATATGCTGTATAAACAAAAAGTGTGTTAATCGTTTCTTAATTTTTTTTTAAAATTATTATTGACTTTTGATTTTGAAATCTCTAGAATACTTAACGCCAACGCCGTTTTCCTAAGTTTTCCTCCATGTTTAACGAATCTTCATTATTTTATTTGCCAGCGAAAGATGTTAAGCGCAATTGCAAAGAAGCAACAATTTAATCTCCAATGCCATCACTGTGATCTATGTTAAGCTATTCATTTTGAACCCTAATTTATTTTGTTTTGTGCTTGCCGCCACAATATAAAGGTATGTCGAGTTTGTCATGCCGTTTGCATATTTAGAAACGACATCGGAAAAGGTTAGGCATTCTGAGAGAAGCTAGCCATAGTTGCCAATCTTTCTGCTCGTTTTTTTTTTTTCGAAATCCTCATTGGAAAATCGAACGTCTGCAAAGTAAAAACAAAATTCCGGGACAATCCTTCTAGCAATTAAAGCCTTGAAAAAGAGACCAAAAGAAATTTGGTGACAAATTAAAAAAAAAAAAGAAGAAAGCTCTGTCTGTACACTATTCTAACTCACAAAATGTAGAACGCATCGGACGGAAGTTGTATATATTCTTTATAAAAAAGGTTTGCCTACAGCCACGCTTTTGAGGTAAATGCAACATCGCTTTAGGGAATAAATAAATTTAGAAACTTTTCCTCTTTTGAAACAACTTTTCCTAAGTCTTCCTATAGGTATAGCGACTCTTAAATCGCTCTATGTGTCCTATGAATAGAGGAACTGTGGCGGTTAGGAAGTATTCGGGTAGAGAAGTGGGAAAAGAGGGACAAGCTGGTGTGTGAATATGTTCGATTTGAAAATGAAAATATTTGGAGCGTTTAAAAAGACCCCTCCCCCAAAGTCATTGGCATGGATAGCCCAGTTGATAAGACTTGCGACTGTCACCTCTGTGCTCGTGGGCACAAATCTCAATAAGGCAGAGTTTACCTTGGTCGTAGTTATACTGAGAGCTCAATCGGTAAAGGCATAACACATAGGGGTTGGGTACAAAATCCCTAGACTGCAGCCGCTTCCCTACTTCTTTTTCTTTCCGATGGTCAACGTATTACACGAATAGAGCACATTCCCTGAGTGATTGGCCATAAAAAAAAAAAAAAATGAAAAAAAGGCGACTAAGGAACAAACTACGTAGATGGGAAGGCAAATAATGCTATTAAACGGTTTCCTTCGTCTTTTTTATCACTTTCCGTTGAGGTACCCTAATACAAGCTTAAAAAGTTTCGAGGACACTAAAGGCCCATTGTTATAATAAACACGCAAAGATCTTTAAAAGTGGAAGCGATTGGGTCGTTGTCACATTCTCTAACCTAAACACTTGCTAATGTTGAAAAAAAAAATTAAATGTATGTTATTCTTTAATAATAAAGAAACTCGAATCATATTTAATAATCGAATAATATTTTAAAATAACATTACAAGAAATATTATACTATAATAAAATTGCTGGTAAAAATGGTCTTTAAGTCTATAGCGCCTACTTCTATACAAAAACTATATGTTTGAAAAAAAAAATGGGAGAATTTCAAAATATTTCTTCCATAGTCCAATGGGCTACGAACTTGACATAAAGGCCTTCTAAAAATAAATGGACTTAATCGACGTCACACCACATCTTCCACACGACCATTTAAAAAGGCAATCCTTCACACGCAATCACCAGAATTTGCTTCTTCCCGATGTGCATTGTTTCGGTAGAGGTCGTCGTTGGGTCCATCTCAGAGCACGTGTATTGAAAAGAAGACGATTAAAGATATAGGAAATTGCCTTTTCGTGCGGTGTCCGCAAAAGACTTAGAAAATGAGGAAAATTTGTTGGTAACAAATCCCTTTGGAAGAAGCGTTTCCTATGTTTCTAGTACAAAATTATTAAATTTTAAATTCAGTTTAATCTGACAGAGAAAATTCGGTTTAAGCTGAACGTAATTTTCTTGTTTTTTTTACTGATGCTCCCCGTTCACCTCATTTACGCTGCAAAAGCATCAAGGAAAAATTAAAATACATTATAATGTAGTAAAAAGTGAAAACAAAAACAAAATAACAACAAAAAATATAATACACACCCGCACTCACTTATTGTTTACCGCGCCACGTGCAGCAGTTTCAACATGAAATATATTTTGAAACTGGAAAATGATGAACAGGCTCCGTCGAATAATAGATATTGTTTGTGCAAGCCAAAAGAAAAGGCAAATAAAACGAAAACGGAAGGGAATGGAAAGGAAAGGAAAGGAAAGAAGAAATTAAAGGAGACGAAAACAATTAACCTTGTTGCAGCCTCACTTTGCTCAGGGAAAAACAATCATTTATTTCATAAAAAAAGGTCCGCATACACGTCTATGTTATACCCACACTAACGGACAAGTACGATATTCAAGGCATTGTTTGGGTATTTATAAGTAACAAGAAAATTTAACTCTTGTCCGCTCATTAAGTGAATTTCTTTACTATCATCGATCTCCTCTTATTTCTTATTCATTCATTTGTGTGTGTGTGTGTGTGTGGTAGATTTTATCAAAAAATGTTTTTACTTACAAACAACAATTTTAACAAGTAATAAATATTCATGGAATCAATAAACGGCGAAAGTAAAAGAATCAAGAAAACACCTGGTTGACGGACCCACTTAGCTACATTCACCTATATGCCATACACGGATGTAATAACCCAATGACTATGAGAAGGAGGAACATTTTAATATTAATTAAACAAATTTTAGTATTACTACTTTTGCTCTTGCTGTTGTTTTTATTGTCTTATCAAGACTTTGCATTACTCTCAATTTACTTACTCTTAATAACTATGAAAAAATCTTCCATACTTCCCTGGTAAACACGGCACAACTATACTAAATTTATTTGTTGACCTGTAAAAATTCGATGAGAGTTGATGAGAACTATTTAAAGGGGAAATTAAGAGATCAAGTGTAGGAACTAATCCTCGCCGGATGAATAGAAAACAATTTAACAATTGCAAAAAGTATAATCGGTTAACCGTTGTATGTGTACGCTTACTGTTCAAGGCAACTCTTGTACGGGCCGGGGACCCCAAAAATGTAACCGACATGATCCAAAGTTAGAATACAGATCACATGTGTCCTTGGGGGCCTCCATAACTTGTTTGGAAGCGCTCGACCGCAGACAACGAAAGTCTCATACACTCAGGGTGAGGAAAGCGAGCTCAAAACTCTCGATACCCTCGAACAGTGGCGTAATGTGAGCTGTGTGGTACTTATGTATAGGCATATGTAGGGCAACTGTTCTACAGAGATAAAAGAAATATGTCCAACAATTAAGTCATTTACCAGCACTACAAGACTTTCTGAGCTTTCCCACCCATACGCGTTCTGAAATTGCCGGTAACTCATAAGACACAATACCGGACATTCCCCACACCTGGAAAAATCTTCCGGCAGTGGCCTTTCACCTAATTTTTAGCTTTAATTGGGTGCTTCTTCAAGATCAAGAGAAGTTCTAACAGACCTAACGGATATATATTTAAAAAAGGCTTTCGAAAATTACAGAAGATATCGGGTAAATAAATTGCAAAAAATCAAACGGTATCCAGAAATATGTAGGATCGTCAAGCGTAAGTACTGTAAGGATGATCTTGGTGAAAAAGGTTATTGATCATTCTCAGTTTCTCCGAGTGAACCAATGAGGCAAACTCACATAGGCATTTTTGGCGATTACATGGTTGCGATTTTCTCGTAATAAATTGATGACCCTAAGCGATGCTTGAAGCCACATATCGTCCAAGTTGAAACCATCAGTAATCACGTCTCTGTAGCGTTCTGCTATACAAGGGCAACTGCAATACTGTTTTTGTGTTCAAAAACGATACTTTCAGCTCACAAACCACATGTAAAGGCTATTTTCCTAAAAGTAAAAGACCTTTAGGAACAGCAGCCGTATTTTCTTTCCTTTAAAGGGCCAAGGTTCCTTATTTAGAAGTCGTTTAATTAAATGCGAGCTTCATTTCATATGCACGAAGCGCAACTGTCGGGTCCATCGTTTTTTCGTAATAAGCTTTAAGAATTTCTATACGCCGTGCAACTATGTAGCTTTTGTTTACCAGAAATAAAAGCAAAGTCCAAGAGATATATTAGAGAAAGAAGACGATCTAGACCTCGGGCGAACATGTGTTTTATTTACGTTTACATTCGGAACCGCAAAATGGATGTCCCTATATACAAGATGTACAAAAATATTCTTTAGGCTGAAAGTAGTTGCTTAATAAAGCCTATCTGATGCATTCATTTTATCCGAAATTCCAGGTATAGATAAGTTACATATTTACGCTTGAACGATTTAAGGTTGAGTTGTTTACAAGTTATAGTTTAAAGAGATGGATGTCTATTACCGCACTGCGGTTTTCCTTGCTTTCAATTGGATTAACCTGGAAAAAAATGCGTTTGAAGCCACGGAAACGGCTTGGAATGCAAATGCAGTAATCTAGGTTGGCTTGCGAGATTTTCGACAAAAATGTTAGTTGTGAAAACGAGGAAAATTCGAATACGTCCGTCCGTCCGTCCGTCCATCCGTCCGTCCGTCCCTAGCAAAAACAAGCAAGGAAATAATTTCCAGCCTATGCTGGGAAGTGTTGTCACAGCCACTACATCCTCCAAACCTGGTCCTTCCAATTCCCACTTGGTCAGATCGATGATCGAACCATGTCTAACTTCTATCCATTTCTTGATGACATTCGTTTTTATTCAAAATAGTCATTATCTATGGCCTTTTGTCACTTATCGACTAGTTTATGAACACCGTCGTCGTTTCGAGCATCTTCAGCTTTGTGGAACTGCTGCCTTGCTATCGTATTGACTTTATCCTTTTGAACCCGTAGTAATCAGAGGATGGTAGTACCGGGCAATACGTT